CTTGGCCCATAAATGCTAGGTCAACTGCGAATTCGTTAACAGCATGAACATAAATCCAGATCAACTGCGTATAAGGTGACACGCTCGTAGCCGCCTCTGCACCTGCTACGACTTTTCGGTGATTTAAGTCGCCTAAAATTGCAATACACAAAATCTGGTATACCTTACTCACTTTAACTATATATATATATAGGATATGGGTAGATGGTAATCTAAGCCAGCACCACACGGTTCGATATATACACGGTTTGTACACACACTGATATTAAAAATCATCGATATATATTTACCTGCGTCCGTAGCGCCGGTGACTGTGTCGAGATATTTATCGAAGTCTTCGCTGGTGACTGAATCATTGTCACTGTCATCGTCGGAGTCTTTCGTCGAACGACGTTTCTGTAAGAAACTGGAAAAACAAAGATAAGTAGTAAGCAAAAAAATTATAAATGTGAAGGAATGTGAAGTGGCGGCGATCGATCAAACGCAAGAAAGAGATGAAATAATAAATAAATAAATAAAAAGAGTTTTATTCCAGTAAAATTCCCATATTACAGTAAAGAAAGATTTTTAGGTATTCCTATCTCTTGTCGCGCGCTATTGTTCTCTGGCAGGGCGACAATCGGACTTCTTTCTTTAAGGGGGGAGCTCCTATGAAGCGAGCTGAAAACGAGCTACGTTTTCCTATATATTACATAATCTAGGACACGTCATTATCAGAAAAAAATTGAATTTTGTTCTACAAAATATGGGGAAAAGCTTCCTGAAACCCAAAAATCGAAGTTTATCCCAAAATACTAAGAAATAAAAATGTGAAGTTACCTCTATTTTTCACTGTTATCATGACCATGCTACCATATTGTACAAATGTTTTGCGTCAATGGTTATTGAAAATTATTAAACTTTATATGATTATTACTCACTATTCAATGTTGAACTCATCACAGATGCAACTTTTTGATAAACCTACACCATTATCAAGTAATCTTGCGACAAACTTACTGTTTCCGGATTCATTCCAAGGAATCAATGGTTGATAAAAGGTATTTGTTTTGATACGTTTCCCCTGCAGTCAAAACTGACGTGGAATGGGTCATAGATAAACGTTATATGAGGCAGACCCACCAAACTGTTCATTTGTACCCATTTGCACCACATTTTGAGGAAATAATTCTATTATAGCAAGAAATTTGTCGTAACTTATTTTCCAACTTTTATAATGGCATTTTGCCCAATGATATGACAATTATGCCAATGTCAGTACTACTTTGATTCATTGGGGCGCAAGATAAAAACGAGGTAGGTAGTCGTACTAAAAAAAAAAAGTTACAAATCAACCAATAAAACCGAAAGGAGGTCAAGTTACTCATGAAACTGAACAACTTTCCCCAAGAAACGTATGTCGAAAAATGAAAAATCATATTTTAACTCCCATACAAATGCACTAGCCGAGCGATTTAGTTTGTATGGGAAGCCCATTTTTTTATATTTAGTCATATGTTCTTGAGGGAAAGTTGTTCATTTTCATAGACTGGTTCACCCTTTAAAATATTGTTTGTAAAGAAGGCCTTGTATGCCACAAATGGAATGTCAATCATGTTTAAACTTGCATTTATACCGTGATCACACATGCGACTTTTTGTCGCGCGACACACGTATTACTTGTTCCTTTAGTTGCACATGTGTGAAAGGGACTACAAATAAGTCGCCGGCCAAAGTCTCTTTAGTTTAAACGCGCGGTTACTGATAATTTTGGGAAGTTCGAATAGGGTTACGAATTTATTGAGTAGGTAGGTACCTATTTGATGACGTTATGGTAACCCTGAATCCTTGGTATAACCTGATTTATAAAAAGGGGACCCGAAATGGCAACATTATTGTTGACATCTTGCTCAAAAGACATGTAACATGAAAAAGACGCAAACAACAATGTTCCCATTTCGGGTCCCATTCTTCTACGAATCAGGTTGTAATACCGAAATATACCATAAATTGTATAAAGCAATGAATTCCCTTTATAAGGATACCTATTTCAAGACCAAAAATCACAGGACTATCCAAATAAAAATGGATTAAAAACCTTCACAAAAAAACCTTTGACAAAAAAGCAAGCCATAGAAATCCCAAAGATTTAGAAATTTTCTCGGTTAGTTAAAAGTGAACGCCTATCTAGCTGCACAATACTCCGCACGTGCCGCATTAAATTTAATTAAGTTCAAATATTGAAGTGACCCTCTTCTACCTACAAAACTGAACAACTTTTATAAGAAACAAAAATTATACTTTTACAACATTTTTATGTGTTTTTTTCATATTTCGACCTTTGCTGTTCGTTATGCGCACCCTGCATTTTTGCTATCAGTTATGTATGTATTAGTATCTCAACCTATGTTTTATTTGTTTTTTTCAATTGCGAGATCTAGTCGCCGACACTTTGAACCTTTAAGAATAATATAGCGCTTATATGAGGTGAAATTTTACTAGTGACCGATAGCGAAAACTCAGAACCGGCTAGTGATAAGGAACAACTTTCCAAGGAACATAGGTCGAAATACAAAATAATTTTTGGACCTCCCATACAAAATTGCCGATCAGCAGATTTGAGTTACTATGGGAGGTCAAAATATTTTTTCGTTTTTCGACCTATGTTCCTTGAGGAATGTTGTTCCTTATCAAGAGCCGGTCCTGAGATTTCGCTATCGATCACTAGTAAAATTTCACGCTATATAATATAGCGCTGTGAGTGCATTAAAAACTCCAATACATTGAACCTTTCTGTCAGAGTTTTTCAGCAGCAACTAGTAGGCCTCTGACATAGTTTTGTAAAAGGTGCCATTTAAGTAATCAATCATACTTATTCTGACAAAGACTTAAGTGCTTAAAGTGCCTTCAAAAGCACGAAACTATCTTTTTTCCGGATAATCAGGTGGTTTAGGTTGTAACCTAACCAAAGGCTGTTTTTTTACTGGTAAGTTTTAAATAACTGGACGCTGGCAAAAGTGTCTTCATATTATATGAATAAACTGATTGACCATAGTCGTCCATCAATAAAAAAAATATTTTTGTCAAAGTTCGCGCGAAGTGCGTATAATGATAGGTACTGGCCACTTGCACTTTCGGAAAACTTTTTCTTCCAAGAGTTTCTTAGTAAAATGTAAGTATGATCGATCACAATATAAAGGTTTATTTTTGGATGAATTTAAACTTTCTTTTTCTGAATGTGAAGAAATATCAAGCAAACTAACAGTTCAATGTAAGGACGTCATTATTTTACTATGAATATTGTTTGGATCACCATTCAACATGCAACGTTTTCTATACAATAACCTACAAAGAATAATCCGCAAATAGTTTGATATGCTGCTGGCTGATAGTACGTACCTACCTAAATTTTCTAAGATTGTTGGAATGGTGAGTGACACCTCTGTAAAACTACTCATTGACCAGCTCGAACACGACTTCCGAATATTATTTAAATTTCGAACCTTCCGGTAGAGGAGGGGGCGGTAGGAGCCTTAACCGAAAAAAATGAAAGGGATTTCCAACTGACAGGCGACATAAAAGTCACATGTGTGAATGGGCGCTTATGATGGCTAGGTATGCTGCTGAGTGAACCACAAGTACGACCGACGCCGAACGAAGTTGGTAGGCTTATAAAACCAAGCGTCGCGACAACGACGCCGTCAAATTTTGACGGCGTCGTTGTCGCTGCGGTCTTGTAGAAAAATCCGACCGCATCCCATACAAACCCTGAGCTTCTCAGCGCGCTGTCAACGTGACGGCGACGCGGCGGCGTCGTTAACGCTGACGCCTGGTTTTTCTGGTATCCCCATACAAACCAGTTATTTGACAGTGACAACGACGCCGCCGCGACGCCACGACGCTTGGAAAATAAGGGTACCATAAGCGAAGCACTTCACTCGCACCACTACCACTGTTTTTCACTTTACATATCTTCTATCTCTTTCTTCAAGATTCTTCAAGACTTCCGCAGAGTAACACTTGGTACTATCTATCTATCTACTACTTTCTATCTTCGCATAATCCTACCCAAAGGTTGCCTGGAAGAAATTGCTACCCTACCAATAAGGCCGCCTGTGTTGTACTTTGTCTTTTCATTTGTTACATTGTTTTTTTATTTTTTGTTTCTTGTACAGTAAAGCATATTTGTATTGTATTTTACTATGTAGATATTAACAGCCACACCAGTCCATTGCTGTATTAGGGGAGAAATGGGGTGATGCTATTCTATGCCGGCATGTATTGTTGTAATATAAAATGAACTTACTCGTATAGAAATCTTTCGTCCACTGGTATTTTCTTGGCGTCTTCATTCAAATACGACGCTGAATTCACTGGCAAGCTTTTTAGACCTGAAATATTTCATTAGCTATTAGTCATCAGATTTTTACCCGACTGCCTTTAACGAGCATTACTATATAGGTGAAATTTTACTAGTGACCGATAGCAAAAACTCAGAACCGGCTAGTGATAAGGAACAACTTTCCCCAAGGAACATAGGTCGAAATACGAAAAAAATTTTGGACCTCCCATAGTAACTGAAATCAGCTGATCGGCAAGTTTGTATGCGAGGTACAAATATTTTTTTTCGTATTTCGACCTATGTTCCTTGGGGAAAGTTGTTCCTTATCACTAGCCGGTTCTGAGTTTTCGCTATCGGTCACTAGTAAAATTTCACACTATATAATATTTTTACATGTCAATAAGGCGCTTATAGAGCGGTTTTAGAATAATAAAAGTCATGTATATACCTATAGGACCATACACTGTTCCTCAGGAAGAGTTACACAGTTTCATGGAGTACACAGTTTTATTTACGCGGTATCTTTTATCACAAATATTTAAACGAGTAAAAAGGTAATCTAAATAATCTGAAATTAAATTTCGTGTATAGCGATATTCGAGGATGATAAATCGATCTAGCTAGGTTTTAAAATAGCTTAAGTAGAAAAATCATTAGCGTCGGCCGAGACCTGGGGCAGGCGCCGGCAGCTCAGTTGGCAGGGCAGTGGGTCTGTACCCCACGGTCCCGGGTTCAAGTCCCGGTCGACGCTAATGAATTTTTCAACTTTTTTTATCATCACTTATGTATGGTGTAAGCACCGGCTGGCGTACCTTTCGCGGTGTAATTCTTCCTGAGCGCAAATCTCGGATGCGAGCCCTTGACCTTCTTGACCCCGTCCTCCTCGTCCGCGCCTCGCTCGGCACGTTTTTTAGGGTTCTTGAACACGAACCGGTCGAGGAAACGCACGCCGGCGAAATCTTTCAGCGGGTCGCCCGAGTACTGAATTATTTGCCCTGAAAATTACAAAGAATTTTGTAGCCGGCCCAAATATTTGCGAAGACCAAAATGAGCCCTATACCTATCATGCCCTACCATAAAGTAAAAGATACTCATAATTTAAAAGGTTATAATTACTTGTAGTAAATAGATATACGCCAGCTTAGAATGAATCAACCATTTCTTTCCCGTAGGTGTCGTAACGTAATAGCGACAAAGGGTGTGCATCAGAATGGCTGGTTGTTGGTGGCGTTGGTCTGTGAGAGTAGATTCAAAAATTGCTACATAATTGCTTATATTTGCTACATATAATAAATAATTGCTACATAGGATAGATTTTTAGAAATAGAATTTATTTTTTGACCAGCCATCCTGACGTTTGGTTGGCTGGTCTCCTCCTAGTTTATTGTTAATCATGCATAGTTTCCCGAAATGTCTTGCGTCAATAATTGCTACATATTTACTTCATCAATCCTAATTAGTTGAAACTTCAAACATATGTTAAGTAAAGGATGTAGCAATTATTTAAATTATCCCAAGAAAAAGCGCCTGATAAAGTAATAAAGGCAAATAGTTGCAGTGTGTATTTATTCAACAGTAGGCGTTTTAAATTGTTAAATAGCACAATAAAGTAAGCACAATAAAGTAAATAAAAACAAAATCTAGCTCGTTCAGAACTTCGACCAATATATCAGAACGACTAAACCGACACTTACATACATAACTAAGTATTTGCCTTTATTATTTTATCAGGCACTTTTCCTTGGGATAATTTAAATAATTGCTACATCCTTTATTTAACATATATTTGAAATTTCAACTAACTAGGGTAGATGAAGTAAATATGTAGCAATTATTGACGCAAGACATTTCGGGAAACTCTGCATGATTAACAATAAACTAGGAGGAGACCAGCCAACCAAACGTCAGGATGGCTGGTCAAAAAATAAATTCTATTTCTAAAAATCTATCCTATGTAGCAATTATTTATTATATGTAGCAAATATAAGCAATTATGTAGCAATTTTTGAATCAACTCTTATATACCAACGCCACAGACAACCAGCCATTCTGACGCACACGACAAAGGGATTTGAGAGTTGATGTGTATTGCAATTTTAGGCGACTGGTTGACCACCTGTCACTATGGTGATACACAGTCTTCTGAATGACTCTCAAACTTTTGTCAGACGTGGTGTAAATGGCCGTTTTTACGGCCATTCATGCTGTGCCTTCCCCGCAAGGGATATTGGCGTAGCAAAGGCCTCCCTTTTGTCTTTCCACTCCTTTCTGCTCTGAGCGTCTAGGTTCCAACGAATTAAAAAAAATTGGACCTTCCATAGGCCATTACTCGAATTAGCTGATCGGCAATTTTGTACGGGAGTACCAAATTTTTCGACCTATGTTGCTTGTGGAAAGTTGTTCCTTCCATTATATCACTAGCCGGCTCTGAGTTTGCTATCTGTCATTAGTAAAATTTCACTCTATTTGTCCCTGTTGTGGGCCAGATGTTGTATCTGTATACTTACCATTCAATAGTTTCTCAGCGAACAGTTTGACAGTCGGATGGAAGTGGTTGACCAGCAGTGTGAGTTCGAAATACGCAGAATGTTGCGCTCCAGCGAACGAGGGGTTGCGCGCGAGGTGGTTATATTCAGTTATCACCTGTAAGGCAAACGTCAGTTCTGAATAAAGTCCATGCTTATTTTTTTATAAGGCTCCTGTGTGCGTGCGTAGAGGGACTTAAAGCACCGACAAGTTGTAGCAGATGCGTAGCCTTATACGTTATAGACATAAATTTTTGTCTATGAAATTCTTGAATTCGTTATTGACCTAGATTTTTTAGGCTAATAGCGAATGAATCGATGCATATGGCAATTTTCCGGTTTTTTCGCGATGGGCTAGGAAATTCGCTTTCAGCCGGATTTCGCTGTTGTCCTGCGAAATATAAAATTTTTGCTTATTATAGATACATACCCGATCCATGTTAATAGTCTTCTTAAGTTTAATCTTGCTCTCCAATTCTTTATCTTTTTCATCTTTTTCGTCAACTTCCTCATGTTGCTCGCCATTCACCTTAGAAAAAAACAAGCTTCATTATTAAAAACAATAACGCGACAAGTTACTAACTTAGTTACTGACGACTAACTTACTGACTAAGAAACTAATAAAATAAAATTTGGTTTGAAGCAAATATTTTAACTAATAAGCGTCGTTCTTGTATAAACAATTTTAATCAAAAGTATTTCTAAATTATGTTTCATTTATAATACAGGGTGTTAGGGACGGTGTACCGAAAACTTTGCAGGATTGATCAGACCATCAAACTGAACAACTTTTACTATGGAGCCAATGGTGGGAATCGAAAAAAATTTCCGACCTCCCATACAAAATTCATGATCAGCTGTTTGACTTTGTATGGGAGGTCGGATTTTTTTTTTCGTTTGCATAGTTTTCGTTACACCGTCCCTAACACCCCGTATTTTTTAATCACCCTCAAGACCACGCTCAAGACCTACAGAAGTCGTGGTTTAAAGAAAAGTACTACTTTTCCTAACACCCTGTATTAGACATAATAATGACTTTAACGGGTCTTATCGCGATAGTTTTTTAGGTAAATAAGCGATTTACCTGGAAACTCGACGTTTCGACTGGGTTTCACCAGTCGTGGTCGCGAGCAGACTGAAGTAGGCCCTGTAGACCCTGTATTAGTCTCGTTTCGTCTTACTAAGTACTACTTTTCCTAAAACCCTGTATTAGTCTCGTCTCGTCTCTCGTCTCGTGATCGGGCTGGTTTTTTGAACAACCACCCACACACATCCGAGTGAGCGCTCACTCCCCACCAAATAGGTAGGTGAAGCTTTAGAGGTCCCGGGGCCAAAAGCATAGGGAGCATTCATAAAAAGAAAAAAATGTTTGACATACCTTAGCGTGGTACCAGCCTGCCACCGCACGCACGGGCGGGCGTCGCTTAGGCTTGATGTTCCCCTCCTCGTCTATTTTCAAGTCTACGTAGCTCTCTTCCTCGTCATCTGAGAAAAACAACATGAAGTTCAGAAAATACGCCGTCCATTTATCAACATTGAATCGACAAATTATTCGATGAACCCTAGTTTAAAAGTATTTAAAACATCTACTAGGTAACTGAATTTATGTGCCTTAGAAAAATATTTATTACTCAATCAACTATCTTGTGATTACATACATACATCAAGCCTATACTCTTGCGAGGTAGGCAGAGCGTAAACGGCTGTAAAAATCTTTTGTCAGGCTTGATGTAAATGACCGTTACATCGCGTCTGACAAAAATTTGAAAATAATTCAGAAGACTCTCAAAAGATCTATTATTGTTAGCCTATATTATCCCGTTTGTAGAGCGTGCGGAAAGTCATGCCGCTCCCGTATCGGCTTATACAGTCATGAAAAATCTTGCCTCAGACACTGAATAAATCGTCTGTCACAGACGTATGAGGCCAATGATGATATTATCCCACTGTTGGGCAAAGGCCTGCTCATACATCTTCCAATATCGATCCCAACCAACCAACAAAAAATACCCCCGAAAGGGTGAGGTATGTCCAGCAGTGGACTGTTGCGGCTGTAAAAGAAAGGTTTACTGACCCATCAACAAATCCTTCTTGTCGCCGCGTAGCAGATCTATCTTTTTCTGTTCTTCTTTCACCGCTTCAGTTGCATCCACAGTTCCATTGTGCTCTGCTTTCGATTCTGAGTCTTCTCCCTCCGCTGATTCTTCTTTCTTTTCTGATACCTCTGTTTCTTCTTTTACTTCCTGTAACAAAAGAAATATCAGTAATCAGTTTTATTTGCATTCCCACATGGTAACATGAGATCTTAAAATTATTACAGAGTTTAGCATGTGGCACCTTGTAGAAGCACCGCAAAATTATTTTGGTAGCAACAATCTTATGGCTAAACCTTACGCTAGATAAAATAATCTTCTTTCATACATAACACATATTGTTAAAAAACTCTTCCAAGTTATAAAAAGCTTGATCCCTTACGTATTTTTTCAATAGGTTTTGCTGATGGGATGCTTCATAGATGGCGCTATTTCTAATATTTAAACCATTAATTGTAATCGATGTATTTGTCATTGCACCTTATCATTCGAGACCAACTAAATAACACATCTTCGTTATATTTACTAACTGAGTTTCCTTTGCCCTATCTCCGCAAGTCAGCACCTTGAATGTCGACTGGACACCTCTACTGACCTGTTTGACAGGTGTCCACACGATGAGGTTGGCGGGTTGGTTGGCTGCTGGCTTGAGCAGTTGGCTGATGAGGAGCAGAAGGCCGGCTGCTTGCGCTGGCGGGCTGTCCACACACAGCTGGAGCAACCTCTTGTTAAGTACCTAACTTAACAGTAGTCTGTACTGGCAGAGCCATCTATATATCCGTAGTTGTATTACTAGCTTTGTACAGCGCCATCTATGAAACCTGTATTATATTAGCTAATCTAGAGCCTTTCTTAAGAATAGCACTATGCTAGCTAGAGGCTAGATAAAGAACCATTCTTAATAATATCACTATGCGATTGACCACTAAGCATGGATCATTTGTTAACACTGGATTATGTTCATGGGATGTTTGATAGATGGCGCTATTTCTAATTTTAAACCATTAAGTTTAATCGATGTATTTGTCACTGCACTTTATCATTCGAGAGCAACCAAATAACACGTCTTCGTTACACTGAGTGTTACAAAACAAGCAATAAAGCTGAAAGAGGTCAAGGTACTAATGAAACTG